ACCGATGGGTCCGTGGAGCCTGCATTGGGAGGAGCACTCTACCTGTCTCAAAGTGGGCCTGCTTCCCTTTCAGCCCTAAATGAGAGGGATGTTTGACCCGGTGGGAGCAAACGGCTGGCATCTCAGGGATTCTCCACCACCTCCCAGAGGGCATCTGGGCATGTGCAGAGCAAGGCCTGACAAGTCTGCTGGCCCCCCTTAGCTTGTCCCACCCTTCACTCCCCACCTTTGCCTGCCTGGGGGGTGGGGGTGGGGAGGCAGGCCCCATCTCTCCTGCCAGTCTGAATCTGTTTTAAGGCGGATGAATCAAAAGCAGTGGCATCTGGATGGACGGGATCCAACCAGGCTCCATAAGAGCCAGGTGGTGCAGTGGTTAGAATGGAACATCAATCAATCAATCAATCAATCAATCAATCAATCAGAATAGAACTGGAAGGGACGTTGGAGGTCTTCTCGTCCAACCGCCTGCTCAAGCAGGAGACCCTACACCCGTGGTTCTCAACCTTTTTAATGCCGCGACCCCCAACCGGTCGTAAGTCGAGGACTACTCAACCGGTCGTAAGTCGAGGACTACTCAACTGGTGCAGCACCGTTTGCAGAATGGGGCTTTTGGCGGGCTCAGCAGGGCAGAGACAGCCTGGACCATTCCTATTGGCCTTGGAAAGCCAATAGAATGAGACTCTATTCAAGACAGTCTCTTCTATTGGCTTTCAAAAGCCAATAGAATAAAAGGGAGGAGCACAGCTAAGGAAAAGGGGGGAAAAATGGCAGACTGCGTTGTTTGGCGACCCCCGTGAAATGGTCGTTCGACCCCAAATGGGGTCCCGACCCACAGGTGGAGAACCACTGCCCTTCACCATTTCAGACAAATGGGTGTCCAGTCTCTTCTTTAAAGCCTCTAGTGATGGAGCACCCACAACTTCTGGTGGCAAGCAGTTCCACTGGTTAATGGTTCTGTTAGGAAGCTTCTCCTTAATTCCAGGTTGCTTCTCTCCTTGATCAGTTTCCAACCATTGTTTCCCGTCTTGCCTTCTGGTGCTTTGGAAAATAAATGCCCCCCCCTCCTCTTTGCGGCAGCCCCTCAAATACTGGAATACAGCTATCGTGTCCCCCCTCCCCCAGTCCTTTTCTCTAGACTGGCCAAACTCAAATCGTGCAACGTTCTTCGTATGTTTTAGCCTCCAGTCCCCTGATCCTCTTTGCTGCTCTTCTCTGCACTCTTTCTAGAGTCTCAACATCTTTTTTACATCGTGGTGACCAAAACTGGATGCAGGTATTCCAGGTGTGGCCTTACCAAGGCCTTGTAAAGTGGTACTAGTAACGTCACATGATTTTGATTCTATGCCTCTGTTTATGCAACCCAGGATTCTTTTGGGTTTTTTTGGCTGCTGCCGCACATGGCTGGCCCACGTTTAAGGGATCGTTCACTAGGATTTTTGTATTGTAGAAAATCTGTCGCAGGCTAACTCACTGCCCACTGCCAGGCGTTCGATCCTGATTAGGTTGACTCAGCCTTCCATCCTTCCCAGATCAGTAAAATCAGGACCCAGATTGTTGGGGGCAAAGAGGCTGAGTCTGTAAACCGCTTAGCAAAATGAGGACCCAGATTGAAGTATTAGTACCACTTTATGTTGTTGTTGTTGTTGTTAATTGCGAAGTCGTGTCCGACCCATCGCGACCCCATGGACAACGTTCCTCCAGGTCTTCCTGTCCTCTACCATCTTCTGGAGTCCATTTAAGTTCACACCTCCTGCTTCAGTGACTCCATCCAGCCACCTCATTCTCTGTCATCCCCTTCTTCTCTTGCCCTCCATCTTTCCCAGCATTAGGCCCTTCTCCAGGGAGTCCTTCCTTCTCATTAGGTGGCCAAAGTACTTGAGTTTCAACTTTAGGATCTGTTTCAACTTCAGGATCTTTATAAAGCCTTTATAAGGCCACATCTGGAATACCTGCATCCAGTTTTGGTCGCCACATTACAAAAAAAGATGTTGAGACTTTGCAAAAAAGGGCAGAGAAGAGCAGCAACTAGGATGATTAAAGGTCTGGAGACAAAAAGATACGAAGAACGGTTGCAGGATTTGGGGATGGCCAGTCTAGAGAAAAGAAGGAGAAAAGGGGGGGGGGGGCATGATAGCAGCGTTCCCAGTATTTGAGGGGCTACCCCAAAGAAGAGGAGGAGAGGTCAAGCTATTCTCCAAAGCGCCTGAAGGCAGGGCATGAAGCGACGGATGGAAACGAATCAAGGAGAGGAGCAACTTGGAACTAAGGAGAAACTTCCTAACAGAACAATTATCCGGTGGAACAGCCTGCCTCAAGACGCTGTGGATGCTCCAACACTGGAGGCTTTTAAGAAGAGATTGGCCAGACATTTGTCCGGAACATTATAGGGTCTCCTGCTTGAGCAAGGGGGGGGTTGGACTAGAAGACCTCCAAGGCTCCTTCCAGCTCTATTCTGATTCTGATGGGCTCAAGGTTGATTCATAATAATAACAACAACAACAACAACAACAACAAGTGGGAAGGGACCTTGGAGGTCATCTAGTCCAACCCCCTGCTCAGGCAGGAAGCCCTACACCATTTCAGACAAATGGCTGTCCAGTCTCTTCTTAAAAACCTCCAGTGTTGGAGCATTCACCGCTTCTGGAGGCAGGTAGTTCCACTGGTTAATTGTTCTCACTGTCAGGAAGTTTCTCCTTAGTTCTAGGTTGCTTCTCTCCTTGATGAGTTTCTATCCGTTGCTTCTTGTCCTGCCTTCAGGCGCCTTGGAGAACAGCTTGACTCCCTCTTCTTTGGGGCAGCCCCTGAGATATTGGAATTCAGTCTTCCATTCTTCCCGGGTAGGTAAAACGGGGACGCAAACTGTTGGGGGCTCATATGCTGCCTCTGTAAACCGCTTAGAGAGGATTGTGAAGCCCTGTGAAGCAGGATATAAGTCCAAGTGCTAAGTGCTATTGCTATAAGGCGGAGTTAAAAGTCCTTAATAATGCTCCAGGGTGCTTTGCACACCTAGCTGAGCCCTGGCACCACCAAAACAAACCCCTTGGCACACACACACCCGGCGGCGTGTGCAAAGTTGAAAGTCCAGTTTTGTCTGTGGTTGGGGAGGCCTGCGTTCGTTCGAAGCTGCAACTTCCTGATTAGCCAGCAGCCATAAAAGAGGAGACGAGGACACGAACTGGCTCAGTGTGTGTGTGTGTGTGGGGGGGGGGGGGGTGATGGCGTGCCACCCTCCTGCATAAACACCTCCACAGGGCAGCTCTGCCTGGCTTCGGCTCCTTATAATAAAAATGTGTTCCTTGGAAAAGATGCTGGACCTCATGATTTTTTTCCCCAAGGAAACACGGCAACTCCTGGAAGAGATTGCAGAGATCCGGACCCTTCCAAAGCACGTTTCCTGCACAGCTCGCAGGCCTCAAAGCTCCCCCGTGCTTTTCTCCCTGGCATTTCTAGGTTGACCCCGCCTGCCGCGGCTACGTCACAATGTCACAATCCGTATTGATTTATCCGCCATATTCTTGTGGCCGCCCCTTCCGCAGACGAGGGATGCGTACAGCCATATACATCCACATCAAATATTCATTTAGCCTTATAACCAAGAGTAGCAGAGGCCGGTAAGCAACGAGGGCTGCCTGCTCCCCAATTATTGTCATTGATTTAATTTTTTTTTCTTTCCCTTCTTAGGAGTTGCAAGTCACTTCCAGGGTGAGAAGGAAAACTCTGTGCACATTCCGAGTGCCATTTTTGCAACGCAGCGTGAAAATATATCGTACTTGCAGAGAAGAGCAAGCAAGATGATTAAAGGCCTGGAGGCTAAAACATATAAGGAACGGTTGCTGGAATTGGGCATGTCTAGTTTAACGAAGAGAAGGACGAGGGGGGACAGGATAGCAGTCTTCCAATATCTCAGGGGCTGCCCCAAAGAAGAGGCAGTCAAGCTATTTTCCAAAGCCCCTGAAGGCAGGACAAGAAGCAACGGGTGGAAACTAACCAAAGAGAGAAGCAACCTGGAACTAAGGAGAAACTTCCTGACAGTGAGAACAATTAGCCAGTGGAACAACCTGCCACCAGAAGCTGTGAATGTCCCAACACTGGAAGTCTTTAAGAAGAGACTGGACAGCCATCTGTCCAAAATGGTGTAGGGTTTCCTGCCTAAGCAGGGGGTTGGACTAGATGACCTCCAGGGCCCCTTTCAACTCTTTGTTATTCTGTTACTCTGCATTGTCAGGAAAGGCACGCGGGTCTATTAGAGAAGGCGCAGTAGCTCCAAAATGCCTCTTTTTATCCCCCCCCCCCTTACTGCAAGCCGCCTCTGAAAAGCACACATTTGGGGGAGGGGTGTGTATGTGTGTGTGTGGGGGGGGGCTTTCTCCTCCTGCCCAGCCTCCATTCCCTGGAACTGCTCCGGCTGCGCTGCCCCTTCCCCACCCGAGCGGGCAGAATCTTGAGACGCAGCCGAATGCGAGAAGGCGATCCCACATTGGTAGTGGGGGGAAGGTACGCCCGAGGTCATCCAGCTCAGCCCCGGGAGTTTGCGACCGAACCGAGAGAGAGAGAGAGAGAGAGAGAGAGAGCGCAGTCTTCGCTTCGCTCTTGGGGGGGGGTGGGGGGGGTGGGAGAGCGGAGGTCCAGGCTGCGACTCCCCCAGACTCTTCCTAACCTTCCCCGCCAGTCCGTTCTCCAGACCCCCCCCCCCGGCCCTGTTCCATTCGCTGGGACTGCAAAGGGCCGAGCTGGAGTCGAGGCGGGGGAAGGGGCGTCCCGGGACAGCCCCCCCCCCAGCCCTGCTCGCAGGGCGCTTCCCGGAGCCTCCGCTGGGCGAAACCCGACACCCGCAGCCCCAGCGGTGGGACGGAGGAGGGGCCTGCCCCCCCGCCCCCCCCGGCGCATCTGGGCTGGCAGCGGACCCTGGCTGGAGGGCGCGGAGCCCGAAACGCGCAGAGCTCCCGTCGCCGCTTCCACCGCGCGCCCAGTCCCGCTCTTGCGCGGCCCCGGCCAGGATCGCGGGCAGCCGAGCGGCGCGGAATCCCACCCCCCCACCCCGCCTCCTTTCGCCTGCGCCGCCCGAAGGGGGAGGGAGAAAGCCAAGCTCGCGCCCGGGTCGCGGGGCGCGCGGAGCCCCGGGGTGAAAGATGCGCGGGCGCCCAGCCGCTTTGGATCCCGCGCAGCGGCGGCGGCTGCAGCGGCGGCTGGGCGCCGGGATCGAGTCCCCCGGGGGGGGGGCATCTGAAGGCGGCGCCATGACGCCCCCCGCCTGGGCGTGAGTCTGCCCGGCGCGCCTGGCGGGAAGCGATCCTGAGCGCTCGGGATCGGCCCGGGCGGAGGGCGCGCCTCCGGAGGAGCCGTCGCAGCCGCCGGTGGGAGAAGGTGAGTAGGAGGGGGGGGCGATCTGGCTCCTGGGAGGGGGGGGGAAGCCAGCGGGCGGTGGTCGAGGCCGGTTCGGAGGGAGGGGGGGGGTCCCGCCGATCACAACGGCTCCATTACGCACCGGGCACATCTGGAGCCGGTGCGCTGGGCCCGCCGTTTGCCCGACACACACACACACACACACACACACACACACACACACACACACACACACACACACACACACACACACACACACACACACACACACCACGCGTGATTCTGCACAGACAACCCCCCTCCCCAAAAGGCATTGCCAGGAGGTGGTTGTGGCTGCGTTCACACGAGACGCGGATTGCAAAGACGGTGCCGAACGCTCCGGGGTCCGCCTTGCCTTCGGACGGATCGCGGTGTTGGGGAAGCAGCAAGCCGTGCCTGGGGGGGGTGGGTGGGGGGCGTTGTCTGAATGCAACCTGCGAGTCGCTCCAACCTGGGTGTGTGGAGGGCGGGCGGGTCCCTTCTGGGACGGATTTGGGGGGGGGTGTGCAACTTCCCCACGGGGATTCCCTTGACCGAAGACCAAACGGGGCTCGGAAACGTGGCGAAGGGGGCTGCGACCCCCCTCCTCCCCAGCTGCCTCCGCCGCCCAAAATAAAAGTTTTTGCAGATCTCACGTGGGTTTCGCCCCCCCCTCTGCTTGTTCTTCCCTTTCCTCGCAAATCGTGGCACTGCTGGGGTGTGTTTGTGGGTGTGTGTGTGGGGGGAGGGGAGGCAGACCAGCACAGCCCCTTTGGATCGGGGGGGGGGAACCCTGAGGTTTGTGTCCTCCAGAGAAAGGGCGGCAGATCGCTGCTGCTGCGCTGCCAGACAAGCCAACTTTGATCTCCGGATTTTCCCTGCTGTCCAGACGTGGCTGGAAAAGAAAAAAGAAAAAAGAAAAGAAATCCGTGCCGCAAATTCCTCCCAGATTGAAATTAATTAACTAATGAGCTGGAAGCCCAGATTCCCGATATGGGCGGCCAGAGGAGACTTGCAAGGAGAGCGGGGATGACGTTGGTCCGCATAGTTTAGCAAGATTAAAAACACACGTGCACGCGAAACCGCAGGCGTAAAGTAGGCAGCGTTAGGTTAGTTAGTGAGGCTTTATTTTTTTTTTCTTTTTTGGGGTGTTGTTGTTGTTGTTGTTAAAGAGTGTCGGGGGCCCGAGGATAGATGGGCTGGGGCTCAGAATTCGCCTCCCGAAATGATGAGAACCCGGTCGCTATCAATCCGAACAGAGCTGGTGGGGACCATGGAGGTCTTCTAGTCCAGCCCCCTGCTCTAGCAGGAGACTCTTACAGAATTACAGAGTTGGGGGGGATCTTGGAGGTCTTCTAATCCAGCCCCCTACCATTTCATAATAATAATAATAATAATAATAATAACTAAAGAGAAACTTCCTGACAGTGAGAACAATTAATCAGTGGAACAGCTTGCCTCCAGAAGCAGTAAATGCTCCAACACTGGAAGTTTTTAAGAAGAGACTGGACAGCCATTTGTCCGAAATGGTGTAGGGTTTCCTGCCTGAGCAGGGGGTTGGACTAGATGACCTCCAAGGTCCCTTCCAACTTTACTATAATAATAATAATAATAATAATAATAATAATAATAATAATAATAATAATAATAATAATAATAATAATAATAGTAATAATAATAATGCAACAATGCAACAATGGTGCATTGGAAGATCTGCAAAAAATATCATTTGCCTGTAAGCAAAAACTGGTGGGATCATAAAATAGAGAAAGTCATAGAAAATGATAAAATTAAACTGCTCTGGGACTTCAGAATTCAAACAGACAAGCACCTGCAACATAACACCCCAGACTTAACATTGTCGATAAGAAAGACAAAAAAGTCTGGATAGTGGACGTGGCAGTGCCTGGAGATAGCAGAATAGAAGAGAAAGAACTGGAGAAGATAACAAAATACAAAGACCTACAAATAGAAATAGAAAGACTGTGGCAAAAGCAAGCCAGGGTAGTACCAATAGTCATAGGCTCCTTGGGCGCAATCCCAAAACAACTGGAGCACCACTTGAACACCATTGGCATTGACAAATTTGCTATTATTCAATTGCAAAAGGCGGCCTTATTAGGAACTGCTTCCATCCTGCGACGATACCTGTAATACCATCAAACATCCACATCTGCCTATCCCAGGTCCTGGGTAAGGACTCGATAGGTAGACAAAATGCCAAATCCAGTCTGAACATCTGGCTGACTGTGCGATGATCCATAATAATAAAATAAACTAAAGTTGGAAAGGACCTTGGAGGTCATCTAGTCCCGCCCCCTGCTAAAGCAGGAGACCCTATATCGGGGTAGGCAACTTTGGCTCTTTTATGACTCGTGCACTTCAACTCCCAGCTATGCTGGCTCAGGAATTCTGGGAGTTGAAGTCCATGAGTCATAAAAGAGCCAAGATTGCTTACCCCTGCCCTAGACCATTTCTGACTGGTGACTGTCCAGTCTATGTTTAAAAACTTCCAGTGTTGGTGCATTCACCGCTTCTGGAGGCAGGTTGTTCCACTGGTTAATTGTTCTAACTGTCATGAAGTTTCTCCTTAATTCCAGGTTGCTTCTCTCCCTGATCAGTTCCCCTCTGTTGTTTCTCGTCCTTCCCTCTGGTGCTTTGGAGAATAAATTGACCCCCTCCTCTTCTTTGTGGCAGCCCCTCAAATATTGGAATGCTGCTTTCATGTCTCCCCTACTTCTTCTTTTCTCTAGACTAGCTAAATCCAATTCCTGCAGCCGTTCTATGTTTTAGTCTCCAGGCCTTACAGTCGTCTTACTTGCTCTTCTCTGCCCTTTTTCCAAAGTCTCAACATCTTTTTTTTTTTTTTGTCATGTGCTGACCAAAATATTGGAAGCAGCATACCAGGCATGGCCTGACTAAGGATTTAACCATTTTTTATTTATAAAATTGATAAACTAAAATTTCTGGAGTTTGTTTTCCTTCTGTTTCTCTGGAACGATGCATTTCCCCCCCCTCCCTAAAGGCTACTTACTGCTGGCTATTTACAAAGAAAGGGGTTATGATTACAAAAGGAGAAAGAAAATATTTTGCTTTGGCAAATCTCTTTTCTTTAAACAGTGTGTGTTAGACCAGGGTAATTCTTTAGAACTTGCAATTCCCATGAGGTCTGGTTTGGCAGGGCTGGGGTTTGAAGGCGTTTGAGTTCAGATGTAAAAAAGATGTTGAGACTCCAGAAAGAGTACAGAGAAGAGCAACAAAGATGATTAGGGGACTGGAGGCTAAAACATATAAGGAACGGCTGCTGGAATTGGGCATGTCTAGTTTAATGAAGAGAAGGACGAGGGGGGACATGATAGCAGTCTTCCAGTATCTCAGGGGCTGCCATAAAGAAGAGGCAGTCAAGCTATTCTCCAAAGCGCCTGAAGTCAGGACAAGAAGCAACGGATGGAAACTAATCAAGGAGAGAAGCAACCTGGAACTAAGGAGAAACTTCCTGACAGTTAGAAAAACTAACCAGTGGAACTACCTGCCTGCAGAAGCGGTGAATGTTCCAACAGTGAAGTTTTTAAGAAGAGACAACCATTTGTCTGAAATGGTATAGGGTTTCCTGGCTGAGCAGGGGGTTGGACTAGATGACCTCCAAGGTCCCTTCCAACTTTATTATTATTATTATTATTATAGTCTATAAGCGGTCCACGGCTTACGATCCCAAACTGAGCCTAGAATTCATATAGCCAAGTGAGAAATAGGTTGAGTTTTGTCCCATTTTCCGACTTTTCTTGCATTCGTTAAGTGAATCACTGCCGGGGTTAAAGTAGCAATCCGGTCGCTAAGTGGATCTGGTTTCCCCGTGGACCTTGCGTGTCAGAAGGTCGCAAACGGGGATCAGGTGACCGCCATCCATAGGAGCCCATTAGCAAGCGTTTGAAGGCAAATCGCGCAACTGCTGCAACGGTCGTTAAGTGTGAAAAACGGTCATACATCGCTTCTTTCCAGCACCGTCGTAACTTGGAAACGGTCCCTAAATGAATGGTTGTTAAGCGGAGGGCGGCCTGTCATGTATTTCTGCAGTAGCTCCCCCCTCCCCTGTCTATGCTGCATAAAGTAGGGGACTGTTTGTCAACTTTTTTTTCCCATTCTTATTTTTATTAATTTTTTTCCTCATCAACGTATGTTAATTTTTCCAATCAACAAGTTGTCTGGAGTTTGCTAAGCTAATACATATTCAATTCCTAATCCTTCATTCTTTTCTCTAACCAAGAATAAAATAAGTCCCAAGTTTGATAATAGTCTGTATCTTCTTTATCTTTCAACCTCATAGTTAATCTCTCCATCTCTGCACATTCCAATATTTTCGTGATTATTTCTTCCTCTGATGGCAATCCTTCATTCGTCCAGTATTGTGCAAAAATTATTCTCGCTGCTGTGGTGATGTGTAAAATTAAATATGTTGTTGTTAATTGCGAAGTCGTGTCCGACCCATCGCGTCCCCATGGACAACGTTCCTCCAGGCCTTCCTGTCCTCTACCATCTTCTGGAGTCCATTTAAGCTCACGCCTACTGCTTCAGGGACTCCCTCCAGCCACCTCATTCTCTGTCGTCCCCTTCTTCTCTTGCCCTCCATCTTTCCCAGCATTAGGCCCTTCTCCAGTGAGTCCTTCCTTCTCATTAGGTGGCCAAAGTCCTTGAGTTTCAACTTCAGGATCTGGCCTTCTAAAGAGCAGTCGGGGTTGATCTCTTCTAGGACTGACCGGTTTGAACGCCTTGCAGTCCAAGGGACTCGCAGGAGTCTTCTCCAGCACCATAGTTCAAAGGTCTCAATTCTTTGGCGCTCAGCCTTTCTTATGGTCCAACTTTCACAGCCATTCATTGCAACTGGGAAAACCATGGCCTGGACTATACACACTTTTGTTGGCAGGGTGATGTCTCTGCTTTTTAGTACGCTGTCTTGATTTGCCATAGCTTTCCTCCCAGGAGCAAGCGTCTTTTAATTTCTTGGC